TCTCCTCCACTCTATGTTGTCAAACCCATTAATTACCCTAAAGGTGCTATTTTCAGGCTCCTGGAAGAGGTATTTTGGAGCAGATAGCTGATGATTAAGTCCCACCTAGCACATGATACAGTACCTGATCATCACCATGGGAAGGAGACAGGCCATAATGTGCCCTGTATTTAACTATCATTCCACAGCACATGCTAATAACACTCCTGGGGGGTCCTGGAGACACTCACAGAGGTTGCATTGGCTGACACCACTAGCACAGCACCAACTTTATTCTTGGGTTTTGCATTATTAGACCAGCAGGCTCTTTTGCTCCTGCAAAAGATTTTAACTAGAATTTCGGTCCCTTCACAACCTTGTTTGCCATCCAGTTCCCTGTTCCTCTGCCAGCTTCATCTGTGCAACTCATCTAGGGTTACGTCTGGCAGATGGAAAGAGGAATCTCATTTCAATGCCTCTTCTGTCTGCATCCCAGAGCCCTCCCTGAGCAGCCTCTATTTCACCCGGGAGGGAAGAGAAGAGGGGGGACGATCAGCCTCCCCAAGAGATGAGAGTGTAAAGTATTTCTCAAATTTTCATCTTCAACGGTTGGTATCATTTAACTCCCCTGGCTGGGGGGTGGCGGGGGGGGGGGGGAGGGGGGGGACTATGCTTTGTTGCTTAGGCTAGCAATATAATCTCTGGCTATCCCAATGCCAAAATATCAATTACAGGTTCATTTGGATGATGGCATAAACTAGTGCTCTGACCACAAGACAATGACATAAACTGGAGGTGGGGGGAGAAGGTGCTGGAGGAGGTTGAGTCTCAGGACAGAAATGAAACTCGGTAAAGATGAATTCTTTAGATCCTTGCAAACGAAGGAACTCAATTCTAAACTGCTGTTTGTCTCATGAAGAGAAACCCACCAGCAACAAACCTGAAGCAGGTATTCCTGAAGCAGGTTTCTTGCTGGAGGCTTTAATGAGAGAGAAGTGAACGTTCCCATCGCACCCACCTTGCCCTGAGTAACCATAAGGGAAGACTGAAAACATATATGACTTGCAATTAAAAGTAAATGTCTCACCAAGCACAGCGAGTCAGAGAGTGTTTGATTCCATTTATATGAAATGGCTAGGGGAGAATCCATAGAGACAGAAAGCAGACTGGGGGCTGGCAGGGTCTGTGAGGGGAAGGAGAAATGGGGAGTAACTGATTAATGGGTACGGCGTTCTATTTTGGGTTGACGAAAATGTTATGGGATGAGATGGAGGTGGTGGTTGTGCAACATTACGAATGTACTAAATGCCAGTGAATTGTTCAACTTTAAGATGGTTACTTTCATGTTATATGAATTTTACCTGAACAAAAAATAACTAACAAATATTTTATAATGGTCTCTACCTAAAGGCCTCACTATTTCTCATTGCTCAACAATCTACCACTACTGGGAGATAAGGAGGATTTTATTCCTATTCCACAGTGATAAGAGGGATTAAATAGGTTTCTAAGTTCTAATATTTGTCACCTTTTGGCATTTCCTGTGAAAAGCCTGGTATTTGCCCAGAATGTCTGCAGCTGGGAAGCAATTCAAACCAGTGATCCTGACTTGCTTGGCCAATCCCAATCAGCAGCAGCACCACCGGTTTACCTGCAGTTGCAAAGTGCCGGCCAGATTATCCAAAGTGGACAGCGTACATCTGTGTTTACTGGCCCCTGAGCCCCGGGCAGGCCCTTGGGATCGAGCCGTGTTCTCAGGAGGGGTGGTGACCTCAGACAATAGAAAGAGGGGAGGTCTTTTAATTCAGTAGAAAAATTAAAGCCTTTAATTCAGTAGAAAAATATAAAGGCTTTGCTCTTTCCACACACTTTCAGGATTAAAAAAAAAATCGATTTCCACAAAGAGTAGAAGCATCTTTGGAAGAGAGGCAGCTTTTCCCCCCTCCTTCCTTTTGATACTAAAGAACATTTGCTCCAACACACAGATCCAAAGCCGTCAGCTGTCAAGTGGAAAGAGAAGCCCAAGAACTTAGGGGGAATAAAAACATATTGAGAACAAGAGATCAAAAGAAGGGACCTTGAGAAGAAACTGTAAGACCATGTAACAACAAAAATGGCTAACAACCCTGTCTAGGAAAAGCTAGTAGGGGACTGGCCAGGTTTACCCAACACCTTCCACTCCAACCCCCACCACACTTTACAGTCAGAGACAAAGACAAACAGGTCTCCCCAATCTTCTTCCCCATTTTTAGAACCATTCGATTTATCCCTCACACCACCTCTTCATGGAGCTCTGATCTTTCCAGTTTTAACCGTAGGACATTTTTTTCCCAACCACTGTTTGGTCTCATCTCCCAGACTTAGGACTTGACAGAGACGCTGACGTTCCTCTGGGACTACAGCCTTTGGTGGCTGCGCCCACTTTCCTCCTGGTAAGGTGTTCTGTATGCTTTGGTGTGTCCTTCCTTTCCTCAGGTGTGCACCTCAAGACTAAGTCTAAAATAAGGCTCTCCTGTTGATTTCAGGCTCACAAATAGCTAGCCAGATTTCCTGTTAAGAAGGAATTGCTAAATATAATGAGAAAACAAAACATGTTCAATGCTTCCAAAATCCCCTATTTCTACTGCTGTATTCCAACTGACTCAGAGCCATATATTTTTTTCCCCCATGTCATGTGAGAAAAAAAACATGTGGTCCTGTCACAAAATGCTCACACACCACAGACACTGCTTATTTTTCTGGAAAAATTCCTAAAGCAGGGAAAAAGCATCTGTTTCCTATGTTGGTCATGCCATGGAATGAAAAGTAAAATGGGGGGCGGGTTATGGAGGGGCCTTCCGTTTCCCTTTTAAAGGAATGCTGAAACAGAGCACCAGTTTTGAGCTCTGTTGGGATTAGGCTGTATGATGCGGATGGGGACTGCGATGTTGTATGTGTGCAGGGCAATTCCGTCCCCTCCATCCTCACACTCCCTCGCGGCGCAGGAGCAGCATGGTAACACTGCCCTGGCCTGAACTTCTGCTTCCTGACTCTGACCGTGGGCATGTCATTTAAGCGTCTGAGCCTGTGTCTCCACTTGTAAGATGGAAATAGTAATGCATATTGTTTCCTATTTAAGGTGGCTGTTAGGCATTGAGCTGTGTCCCCCAAAATGCATACCGAAATCCTAACTCCGGGTACCTACAGGGTTGTTGCAGATGGAAGAGGTGAAGTGAGGTTGGACTGAAGGAGCGTGGGCCCTTCAACCTACGTGTCTGGTATCTTTATGATGGGGAAGATGGCCATTAAAGACACAAACACACAGGGATGATGCCCTGTGACCAGAGAGGCAGACGCCAAGTGATGCAGCTGCAAACCAAGGAACGCCAAGGACTGATGGCCACCACCAGACGCCAGGAAGAGGCAAGGAAGGATTCCTCCCTACGCGGCTCAGAGGGAGCATGGCCCTACCTTGACTTTGTACTTCGAGCCTGCAGAACTGTGAGACAATACATTTCTGTTGTTTTAAGCTCCCCCAGTCCATGGTACTTCGTTACAGAAGCCGTACGACACTAATACAGTGATCATTTTGTAATTTATTTAGTGTGCGTGTGCGCTCGTGTGTTTTAATTATAGAGGAAACACACTAAGAATGAACCAGGTAGACAAAAAAACAAACAAACAAACAAAAAAACACCAAGGTAACTTTTCTTCCTTATCTAAAACTAGGAAATGGCATTATTTCCTTGAGAGCCAACACTGCCTCTCCAAACTCACCCCCTCACACTCCTTCCCATGTAACCCGCTCCATGACGTGGGCCTGCAGTCTGTACTGTCCTTAGGGCCTCTGCATCAGCTTCTTCTTCTGCCTGGACCACGCCCAGGGCGAATCCCTGACCTCCTGTCTTTCCCCAATGAGGCCAACCCTGGCCACTCCTTTTAAAACTGCAATTTGTACTCCTGCCCCACCCAGCACCCCCAAATCCTCTTACTCAGCTCTACTTTTTCTTTTTCCCATGTTCTTATTGGCTTCTAATACCCTAACAATTTACTTATTTCTTTAGTAGGTGCGTTATTTACTATCTGCCTCCCTCCGTGCCACAGCATGACCTCCGTGAGGGAACAAGCATCCAGAGCAGTACCCAGGTCATAATAAGTGCTCAACAAGGGTTTTAGAAAATACATTATTTATTTTTCATGAACCAATGCCTGCCATGACAACGCATACAGTTGTTGTTCTTCCTTTGATCTTGTCCCTTACTTCTCTCCTGTCCCCTAACTTCCAAAAGTACTTAGCAGGTATCTGCAGCCCAAAGAATGGTATGAGTTATACTTAGAGGGCCGGCAGGTGAGGAACAAGATGAAGCTCTGCAATTCACAGCACCAAGTTCTATGGTACAAACACACCATGAGACACAGGCCACTAACTATTCCACAGAATTTTATAACAGCAGTAAAAATAATAAACAATGATAACTGCATTTTTATATTACTCTGTCCCATCTGTAAAACATTTTCTTATGAAATTCCCCTTTACAGATGGAAGAACTGGGGTTTAGAAAAAAATAAGTGACTTGTCCAAGTTTACTTAGCTGGTAGGGCAAGAGCTGGGAATGAAATCTAGAATTAGAAGATCTTCAGTGATAAGGACCTTTTTCTTTCTTTTTTTAAATTAAAATTTTACTTTTATTGATTTCAGAGAGGAAGGGAGAGAGGGAAAGAGAGAGAGATAAAAACATCAATGATGAGAGTGAATCATTGATTAGCTGCCTCTTACCCCCCCCCCCCCTCCGGGGGGGAGGAAGCCCACAATCCAGGCATGTGCCCTTGACTGGAATCGAACCTGGGACCCTTCAGTGCGCAGGCCAACGCTCTATCCACTGAGCAAAACCAGCTGGGGCGACAGGGACCTTTTAACTTGGTATTTAGTGAAATGTGTACTATCCATTTCTGGAGTCCCACTCACAATAAGGAAACGCTCTTTAGTGTTTTCTCTACAACTTACTTCTCTTCCTTCCCCATCCTCTAAACAAATGACTTACCTACCGTAACAGCCACACGTCCTTTCCTTGTTGGGTAGCTCTCCACCAGAATTTTCTTCTTGTTAAAAGGAGAATTCACCTTCAGTGGTAAGTGTGCCAGAAAATGAGGTACATTTCGAGAAAGCCTGGGAATCACCACCCTTGTGAACTGTTCAGAAAAAAAACAAAAACAAAAAACCACAATTCAGCAAGAGTTTTATATCTTCAGTTCTCTCTGGGAATGCCTTCAACATGAATCTCTTTCCCATTCTTTGGCAAGTCAAAAGAGTTTTTTGCTGAGACTTCCAATTAAATTTACTAATCTTAAATTCAAGAAATGTGCATTCCTTGGCCTAAATTTATTTTAGTGCCTTAATAACATTTATTATTAACTACCTCCACTTTTGAAGGGACTGAAAGAATCATATCCATGAATATTGAGCTTCCATCCTTCTTTACAGAATTCTCACATTTATTCTTCATGGCAGTTTAGCTAAAATTCAAGGAACTATCAGACACATATTCATTCCAGCAGAAGTGAAGGCAGTAATCATTCGATTATCTCTTCTCCTAGAGATACTGAAGGCACCTTTTTATTCAAATGCTAATCACATTCAAACTAGGCTAATAGGCTCCCTCTATGTAGGGTATGCACAATCCTTCCAAACATACTAGGATGCAAACCCTGACGTCATGACTGGAGACTGTAACTGGATGGAGGTGGAAATGGCTGATTTGCAAAAGGTCATTCTGCCTTTGCAAAACCCAGGAGAAGAAGGCGACTTTCTGGGGCAACGATACAGGAAGAAATCACTTCTAATCTCAGGATGGCAATGGTTGTCGGCCTTTGTGGGGAGATCCCTGTGTGGGTTTAGAGAAGAAGTCCCAGTTCTGGCTCTGAGGAACTAGCTTGTATCAGACCACCTTCCCATTGAACACAACTGGAAAAGCTGGATAAAGATTATGTTAAAAACCTGTTTAAAATACTGGAGTGCTACACCAAGGCAGCCAGGACATGAGAGGCCAAGATCTTAGGGAGAAGAGAAATAAAACTGAGGCAACACCTGGTACCACTTTTCTTCTCAGGACACCTACTGATCTTTAAGAGGCCCAGCGCAGAACTGCTGAGAAGCCAAGCAGAAACCAGCTGCGCAGAGGCACCCGAAGTGAGCCATCCTTTGGCAGACCAAGGGAATCCCAGAGAGAAGGGACATGTAGAGAAGTGAGCTGGACATTCTGCCTCTCTAAGCATTTGCTAATTGAGAAACGGGGTAAAGCAAGCAGAAAGCAGCACCAACAGGTTTGGGAATTAAACAGAGCTTTGGGCAGTTTCATGATGTTGGAGGAATTAATACTGGAGTTCAGGGCCCCCCAGAAAGGGAAAAGCTCAGGCACATTTCCTTAGGACCCCTGAAGGGCACCACCTACCATGAAAGCCTAAAATAATACCAGAACTGAGTCTTAAAGCAGCTCAGTTCCTTGTCGGATTAATGTGGTCTGCCCTGCCCTAACCACCTCTCAGAAGCAAAAGCAGCCTCTGAAGAAAGATACCATCATCTACAGAGTTTATGACTCTTTATACAAAATGTCTGCATTCAATCAACAATTGCTAGGCATTCCAGGGCATGGATTCAAGAAAGAGAGACAATAGAAAGACCCAGACATGACCCAAATAGAGTCATAGGACATGGTCTTTAATCCTATATAATAAACCCCTAATACGTAAATAGACTGAACAGTAGAAGGACCGCAGAACGACCAGTTGCTATCACGCACACTGACCACCAGGGGGCAGATGCTCAATGCAGGGGGCAGCTCCTGTGTTGAGCGTCTGCCCCCCCCCCCGCCCCCCACCGAGGGAGGTGACAGGCAGTGGCAATCAGGGGACAGGGTGGGGCCGGCCAGTGGGAGGTGCCTGGCCACCAGACAAGGTGGGTCCCTGGGGGGCTCCCCAATCACCCTGCCCACTGGTCGCCCCACTGATGGCCCTGATCGCCAGCCAGGCCTAGGGACCCTATCCTATATATTGGGAACAGTCTCTTAGATTTAAAAATTAAAACCTGGCAAGGCTACTCTAACACTGAAAAAACAGGATGATGCAGCGATGACATGCATGGACTCTGGCTTGCACATTTTGTGGTCAGCCCTGATTCTGACACTTATAACTGTGTGACAAAGCCAATTACTTAACTTCTCTCTGCTTCAGTTTTTCCACCCATAAGATGGGGAAAATGGTACTTCTGCCTCAGAAGGATCATGTTATGTACTACTTTTTATAATCAGGGCAAAAAAATGTACCTGCCCATACAACAGCAAGATGCCTTTCACCTGTATGAAAAGTATGGCCACTGGTGCATGCAGCATCCCCAATTGTGAGAGGGATGTCTGACTGCTGGTTTAGGCCCAACATCCCCCGAGGGGTCCCAGATTGCAAGAGGATGCAGGCTGGGCTGGGGACCACCCCCTACCATGCATGGATTTTGGGCACCGGGCCTCTAGTATAACTATAATTAATATGTTCAAAATTATAAAGATTATAAAATATTTAAACTCACAGAACAAGCCAGAAAAAATTAAGTAGCGATACAAAAGATCTGAATAGCATAATTGACGAACTCAACTGTAGTAACAGATATGGAATACTGTACCCAACACTGGTACTACACATTTTTTTAAGGTGCACATGAAACATTTACAGAAATTAACCACATATGGGTCATAGAGTATGCCCCCAGATATTTAAACAAATGGAAATTATAGTGTACTTTTTTGAACTTATGATTTTGAAATAATATAGATTAGATTCATAAAAAATTACAAAAATAGTTTTTAAATTGAGGGGAAATTTACATACTGTAAAATACATACTGCTTTAAAATGTACAATTTAATAAGTTTTTTTGTTTTTTAAATATATTTTTATTGATTTCAGAAAGGAAGGGAGAGGGAGAAAGAGAGAGAGAGAAACATCAATGATGAGAGAGAATCACTGACTGGCTGCCTCCTGCACACCCCCTACTGGGGTCAAGCCTGCAACCCAGGCATGTGCCCTTGATGGGAATCCAACCCAGGACCCTTCAGCCCACAGGCTGACACTCTATCCACTGAGCCAAACCAGCTAGGGCCAATTTGATACATTTTGATAAAGAAACCCAACTGTGTAACCGCCAACAAAATAAAAATATAGAGCATTTACATCACTCCAGAAAGTTCCCTCATGCTCCATTTGGTAAACCCCCAAATCTCAAAGACAACCACTGTTCTCATTTCTAGTTCCGTAGATTAATTTTGCCTGTTCCTGAGCTTCATACAAATTGGCTCATATAGTATGTCTGTGTCTGGCTTAATTCACTCAGCGTGTCTCTGAGATTCACCTACACTGTTGAGTGTATAAATACTGTACTACTCTTTATTCCTGAGCAATAAATAGTCCATTGTATGAAAATAGCACAACTTATTACATATTCTTCTGTGGATGGAAATTTGGTTGTTTCCATTTCAGGGCTATTATAAACAAAGTTATTATAAATATTTTCATACAAGTCTACTTGTGAACATATATTTTTATTTCTCTTGGGTAAATACTTGGGTGTGGAACTGCTAGGTTATAGGATGGAAAGCATTTAACTTTACAAGAAACTGCCAAACAATTTCCCACAATCTATGTGTGGCTGCCACTGGGACTTCAGTAGAGTTACATACTGCAATTAATACAAAGACCACTGTCTGAATGACCGCCCTCTCTCCAGGGGCCATCGCTTTCTCTCTGAGCTCACTGGGGAGAGAGTTCTGGGCATAGAAGCCAGAGTGAGGCTGCTCCAGAACTCCAGATCCGGCCAGCTTTGGTCTCTGTTCCATAGCAGCTCTCAGAGATGCTGCTCTAAGTGGTGGTTCCCGTCCAGTAACAGCCGCAAGGAAATGTGACCACAGTTGACTTTTCATATTCTAGAAGTGTCAATTACACAGTCCACCATTCCTTAATAAACACCTTTAAAGCAACAAATAAATAAATAAATAAAGTGTTACAAGCATTGATTTTGGGGTTATAAATAAATTTAGCCAGCAGGCAAACTGGCAAATATAGAATCTAGGAACAATGAGAACTGACTGTTCCAGGTCTGAAATCTGGTTTTACTCTCTCAAATTTCTTCCCATTTAGACAAAGGAGGCCTGGTGAAGCCCCAGGTAAGTTTCATGACTCCCAGCAAGGTGTTGGCTCAACTAAACTAGCCTCATGGAAGCTCACTTACTGTTGAGGTAGCGATTTACAACTTGTCCCAGGTTGACCACTTCACCCCATCTCTGCTCATTTCTTTTCTCAGATGCTCAGGGGGAACATTACGGAACACTGGAAATGTTAAGTTTGTCTGTAAATCACGCATAACTATCTGGGCACTTATTTCAGACACAAGAACACAATCAGCAATAATGGGGCCACCTGTGCTTGATACTACACTCTGGAGACTGACGGGCAGAGAAGGAGAGGGAAGAAACGTGACCCTCCATGGGCCCAGAGTATGCATATCCAGGTAAAGAAGTTAAAAAGTGGACTCTTCCTATTTGCCATGGCCATGTATGGGATGTTTCACAGCCCCTGCTGGCTGTGGGCCTGCCCTAAAACCAGGTGCTAGGAATCAGTCCAGCAGTCAGGAAGACCTGGTGTCAGGACCACGTCTCCGGGATTCACTTACTTCTGCAAGTCATGATGCCTGTGACCTGCCACCTGAGAACAGACTGTAACAGAAACTACAGCTGCATTACTCAGAAGGTTTCTGTCTGGAGTAGGAACTGTGCTGCGGGGCTGGCCAGCTGGAGTTGGGTTTCCATCTGGGTGACTTTGACTTTGCAGACCGACACAACCTGGTCACCTTGAGCACTATATTCTCAGCCCCTTCTCAATAGCAACTGGCAGGAGGAGCTGTGACACCAGTTTTGGTGGCTCTCAGTGAACAGCAGGACCCGGTAGTCCCCCCTCCCTCCTCTAAGGCGCCCAACCTCACAGCAGGTGCAGAAATGATCTGGACTTTGGGCCAGGAGACTCATATTTCAGTTTTGGCTGGATATGAAATTATACAGTGAAGTTGGAAAAAAAAAAGATATAAATTACCTCCTTCCCATTCTCCTCTACTTCCATGCACTAGTGAGAAGAGTAGCAAAAATCTGCTCCTTC